TATATATATATATATAATTTCGAGCAAAAATGAGCTAAACATTAACAATAAATCTTTGTTCGTGTTTTGTTCGTTTGTATATTGAGCACAAAAAAATTGTTCATGTTCAGCTCATTTGTTTAGCGAACGAATCGAACACGAACTTCTTAACGAGCTGAACACGAATTATTCGTGAACAACGATAGACAAGCAGAACACGAAAGTAAAATAAGAGAAAAGAAATAGAAACACTAGTGCTGAGCGCTACATTTCTGACTCCAACGTAGCTTTGATCTAATAAAGGTAAGGGGCAACATTGGGGTGCGAGTCCATAACTTAGCGTCCAATTGCTCCTTATGCTCCTCCATTTTGCATTCTTACCCATATATTGCATATACAAGTACACATAACTTAGAAAAGTAAAAAAAATGAGACAATCAACATAAAAATTATAGAAAATATCACGTCACATTTTCTATACATCAACATTTTTGGACAACTAGTTGAGCTGATTCAGACCAATATCATCAAATTCTCTTTTGTCATTATTGTCATATTTTCAATGCTATATTGTAAAGTGCAATATGGTTTACATATATTTGATACATCCAAGTTAATGTCTAAAATATATCCATGCATGTAGTCATTTAATAAGAAAATATGATGTTAATTATAGCAAGAATACATTATTTTTTTAATTCTTTAATAAGCTTTTGATGTGTTGGTGCCAGACAACGGAGTGGCATAATGTGCACTGAAGGACTGCTTTATTGGGCCTGCTCTTTAACGAGCTTGTTCAATTGACTGTTCAACCCTTCCAACCTGTAGATTTTCAAATTATTATTTTAGCAACTAGCAATCTAAAGTACAAATATGCTTATAGTTAAGACGTTCATATAAATGAAACAAAATGAGTCCGAAATCACAAAATTTTGAGCTCATAAAGGCCTTGAAATGTCCATAAAAACATTCGGTGATCAAGGGGCTTATTTATACCATTTAATGAAATGTTTAGGATTTTAGTTGAGATGACATAAATGCATCCTCAAACAATTTATAAATAGGTCGTGCACTCATATTTTTTATATTTGTAGTAGAGGATTTTCAGTTGAATGGGATGTGAGATATATAGAGGATTATAGAGCTCCATTCATCCAATCTTATTAACAAAGGATGTCAATTGATTGATACTAATGCCTCTCATCATGCATAATCGCCCATCATCTTTTGCTTGTTATTTATTGACATTGATCCTTATATCGACCTTTGCATGTTGCCCAACATTAAGCATCACTCAAAGTTCACCCTCATGTATACAGATTGCTTGTGTAGTCATAAATTGCCATCAATGCCCGCAATTTCTCATCTTCAATTACTGAAGGACACCAAACATTGATGAGATTAAGCATTGACCAAGATTGATGTAATTCATCACCCACCTTTGACTTTTGACCGACTATCGGTGTCATGCCTAATTTTGAGGTCAGAGACTAGTAGTTGGCAAAAGTTGAATGTCTATACCATTGACATGTGTCAAGCAATATCAAGATTATTTAAATATATTTATTTATTTTCTCACCAACTCCACTCATCACACATAGGATGAAAAAGAGAGATGGAGGCCATAAATTCATGAGGAAGATTAAAAATTTAAGGTAAAGAAGCTTTTTTAAGAAACAAGAGCTCTCTCACAGAGAGATTCTCCTCTAGTATTTGTAGCTTTGAGTGTCCTTTATTGTAGTCTAAAATTGCTAAAATAATGCGAGATATAGACCACCACTTGATGTGGTGTATATATAAATCAAATAGGAGAATGATCGATGAAACGAAAAATAGAACGAGAAAATTCACATTAAAAACAGCAACACAGCGAAACACACAAATTTACGTGTTTCGTCAAATTGCCTACGTCCACGGAGTTGCAGAGGATTTTACTACTTAGGAATTTACACTAGTTGATCACCTCGACTTACAGGAGGAATCTCTCACTCTCACTTTGTGGCTCTCTCTTCTTCTCTCTCTTTTCTTCTCTCTCTACACCTGAGATGCATCGAAGAAACTTTACACCGAGGTACACCGAAGAAGACAAACTTACAGGAGATATAAACTTAATTTCTCTTCTTCCACAAGTCACCAAGAAGAAGCCAAGGGAGAACAATCTTCTTCTTCTTCTTCCTTCTTCCTTCTTCTTCCTCTACGGCAAGAAACTACTCCTCCTTGTACTTCACTTCCACTGTCCCGTGAAAATCCGAAGAACTTTTCCTCTATTCAAAGAAAGCTCGAAGAAGAACTCAAAACGTGACTTTGAAACTTTAAAGGAGAGTCGTGCTTTCTTCCTTTCCTTCAAACTGCACACACACAACCGTCCGCCTCGTTCGCGACATAGATAGATTCGAAGCGAAGCTTCGTTTTGCTGGTGAAGCGAGGTGGGAGCAGTTCGCGAACAAGGGAGGCGGGAGACGCAACGGGAGTGTTCGCGACGTTTCGCGAAATAGAGGAGGCGGGAGCGGGAGATCGGGTTCCAGCGCAACCTAAAATTAGAGGAGGCGGGAGCGGGAGATCGGTTTCCAGCGCAACCTAAAATGCACACAGAAGAATAAGGTGTTAGCACCTAAGTTGTTCATGGATGGAAGACATATAACACTTTGGCAATTAGGCCATTTTGTTTAAAGTAGTTGTACATTGAAGTTATAATATCTATATGCAACCTACGAGTTATAATAGTCATATTGTGAATTCGCCTAATACAGGTTGACAAGCGGACAGAAGTAGTGTCAAATCAGGTTCTTAAGCTAAGTTTGTGTCCGAACCGAAATTTACCCAAACACGAACCAAATATTAAACATGTTAGAAAATCAAACTCGAACCCGGCCCACACTCAATTTGCTAATCCAAACCTAACCCGTATAACATATTTAATATAAATGATAACAGTTATTCTAGTCAAAATTGAGTTAATAGGTCAATTTTGAGTGGATTTCGGGTAGACGGGTTGAGTAAGAGTAAATTTTAGGTTGGCGGGTCAATTAAGGTTTGGACGGTCAACTCAAATCCGACCAAAAAAATTCAATGTGTTAAGAATCATACCCAAACCAAACCCGAAAATTATTCAAGTCAAAACGAACTTGTATTTTTTTATTCAAGTTCAAGTCCCGTTGACATATTGGGTTAAATTTTGACATCCCTGACAAACATCACGTACTAAATCCTAATCCTAGCGGCAAGTTAACACAATTAGTGGCAAGCTATACTAGCCTACGTCGAATTGCTCGCATGATCGAGACTGGCTTGATCATGCTTGTTGGGTTGTGTTTCTCCAATCACAGGTTAGATTTACGTCGTCGGGCATATAAGAATGCACTAAATTTGAATAAAAATAGAGTGAATGTTTTGATTCAATATTCAAACTTAAAAAAAAAATCATAATAAATGCTTACAACTAATTATCTTTAACAGGTCATATGTCACAATAATATCTATTTATATAAGCAGGATCCTTATTTTTTTTACATTATTGTCCACATATAAGTTTAAATAATGTTCCACCAACTTCTGCCTATTCGACACAAGCTAAGCAATAGTTTACTTTTTCAGCCTTTGCTATCTTAATCATTGCCAGCATATAAGATATAGACAATGTGACAACTAGATCGGTCAACTTGACTAAACCTTGCCAAGCCTTTCCGTTACTTCAATCTTCCAATCAAATAATAAGAAAATAAAAATGTACCGAATTGTTTCAAATATGCCTCATAAAATTAATATCCTAGTTATAAAGTTTTGCTTCTTAAATTTAATATAATTTTAAAAATATTATTATTTTAGAGATTAAATAATCTCAACCAATTTTTAATTATAACAAATTTTTTTATGAAATAAGTATTGTCAAAGTTGGATTCAAATCTGTCTGATCATGGCCATGGGATAGAACCTAGCGATCGTGGGAGAGAAAGATGAAGAGAGAGAGACTTGCCCCGTCGGGGCAAATGGGGGTGTTCCCAGACTCTTTAGTCCCTTTTATTTCACTAAAAATGTAATTACAAAAAAGGGGAGTTCTCCCTATATGAGGAGTATGATACCCCTATTTATAGAAGATAAGGAAAGAAAGAAATATAATATTACATATTTACCCTCTCTAGAGAGGAGGTATTACATGTCATTTTGGGTATTTTAGTCTACTAACATTGACCGTTAGATTGCATCGAGATTCATGCAGATATTTGGGTGTACAAAATGAACTAAAAAATTTGCTTGGCATTGTGCGATTAAATTTTTCTAAAAGTTATTTGAACTATTTGGGAAGTTGAGATCAACTTAAAAGTTTTTATTGTGAGGATAAATTCGGCAAATCAATCATGATGAGGTGTTCCAAGTTATATGCAGTTTATTAGAAATAAATAAAAAATAACAACAAATAATAAACAATTTAACACTTATAGGAGGCGACATTCAAAACCTTCTTAAAATAGATTGCTCTCAAGAGGGGAGGAAACAAACAGAAATTTTTATTATTTACATAGAAAAATTATAATTATGATAATGTCATTTGACGAGTCTTGATATAAGTTAGGTTTGACACCTATACGGTCAGTTTGGCTTCATTCGACAGGTTTGCCCAACTTACAGTTCGATATTTATATTTCGTCTTTTGCCTGGATCACCCTAGACATAACCCGCTTGCAACTTGGTCAAAAACATAAATATTGTATACTCAAAATTATTTTCATTCTTATGGTTATCAGATTCATGAATTATGAGTGATTTTATGATAATTAAAAAATTTCAATTGATTTTAAAACAAAACATTTTCATGGCCAAAGAAAGAAAACAAACTAACCCTAAAAATTTACACAATCACCAATATTTTTCACAATTACTACATAATTTTTTTAGGGTTTGGAATTAAAACACATTTTTTTTAATCCTTGAGGATAATATACCAAAAAAAAAAAGAATTTTATGGCATGTTCGTAAGATTTTCAAGAAAAAAAAAAAGTAAAAAACTCACATTTCCCAACTCAAATCCCAGCTGTTGGAGAGAATTTGGAAGGAAGCTACACAGGGATGATGCAGATCCTCGCAGTCAGCTGATAAAACTTGCTTTTTGTTGCCTCTCAGATCCCATTCCTTGTTGCACTGCAAAGCAAAACCCTTTAACAATCTCTCCCCTTTCCTGAGACGAAGCACCAGAGCTTTCAAAGCTGAAACCCTAAGTCCCTGCTTCCATTCCGATGCCCTGTTTCCTGATTTCTTGATCGGAAAGTTCTCCCAAATTCGTCTACTGAGATGCTGCAGAAGTTTGCTTTAGCTTTCAAGGCCAAAACAATCGAGTTCTTTGCAGAGGAGGAGGGGGAGGACGACGCCGTTGTCGATCTTGACTCTGTGCCGGAGGAGGTTATTACAGGGCAACGCGTAGTTGTACTCAAGCCAGACCGTCCGGTCCAACCCAATACGGAAGATCTCGTCTCTTCTCTTTTCACTAGTGTCTCCTTCTTCCGTGCCGCCTATCTTCAGCTTCAAATTGCCCACTCCCCTTTTGATCTTGAAGCCATCCGCAGCGCTGATTCCGCGGCGGTTTGTCATCTTCACCGGCTTTCTGAGCTCAAGCGCGCCTTCTCCACCAACTCCCAAATACAAAACTCTAAACCTAGTTTACCCCTTTCAGCCCAACTGGATGCCCAGGTGCAGGAGAATCAGAGCCTCCTCCGCACCTTCGAGACCGTGGTTAATCGCATGCAGTTCGATATCGATCAGAAGGATGCGGAGGCCTCGGAGCTAAAACAGCGGCTATTGGAGTCCGAGGCCGCTAATGACCGCCTCGAGCGGCGGCTCGAGCTTGCCTGCTTGCCGCCGGAGGAGAAGGTGGAGTCTCTGCTTACAGTGGGAGTATTCAATTCCGTGCTGAAGGACTCTTGTCGGGTAGCTCACCGTTTTGTTCGGGCACTTTCCGAATTGATGAAGAAGTCAGGATGGGATTTGGAGCTCGTTGCGAATTCTATATATCCTGATATCTGGTATGCCAAAGCAGGGCACTGTCCGTATGCAATCCTCTCCTATGTTTGTTTGGCAATGTTTGAATCCTTTGATTTGGATAGTTTTGGATGCGAAGGGAATGGAATGTGTTCCAATTCTGAGGATTCCGAGTTTAGAAAGATGAATTCTTTAAGGAAATTCATTGACCATTCAACCCTAGATCCATTGGAGTTGATCAATAGAGATCCAAATTCCGATTTTGCAAGATTTTGTGACATCAAGTATAAAAATATTGTTGAATCTTGGTTGGAGTCATCTTCATTTAGGAATTCAGATCATTGCTCATCAGTTATAGAAAATCTGAGGCCTTCAAGGCCTCTTTATGAGCTGTTTGTGAATATGGCCAGCTCAATATGGATGCTTCACAAGTTAGCATGGGCTTATGAGCCGGCAGTAGAGATATTTCAATTAGGCCGAGGCGCAGATTTCTCCATGGTTTACATGGAGAGTGTTTGTCAAAAATCATTTGATAAAAATTCAGCTTGCATGAATTCACGTCCAAAGGTTGGGTTTACAGTTTTTCCAGGATTTCGTGTGGGGATGACAGTGATCCAGTGCTGGGTGTATCTAGATAGAATGAAGAAGATATTTTGATTTCATTTTGAACTGTAAGTTAAGAATTAACCCTTTTTTGTATGATATCAAAGAGGACAACTATATAAGATTGTAATAATTAAATGAAATTTTATATTCTTAATGCAAAGCACAATCAAACACCTTATTCTGTATGGATTTTTTTTTTTTTTTGAATTAATTTGTGATTGAACAAAGAGAATGACAAACCAATTTTTTTAATATATTGTTCTTGACACTGACTGCAATTCTCCAACATGATGATGCATATACTGATTTGTGTGTAGATTTGGTAAAGCTTTTTTGCATGATCTTTATAGTTTTCTTTGCAGTTCATCCAATTTGACAAAGATTCTGGTGTTGGCTATACCATTACTTAATTGATTTGCAAAATTTAAAGTGGATTTCTCTTTTTGCTAATTTTAATTAGGAAAATTTGCTCTTAAAATAATATGCGTTAAGGGGCCAAAGGAGCAACTTGCCTGAGCCATTGGTTGGCTTCTGTCCGAGCCTATCATTGTCTGATAAAAAAATTACCCATTAAATGGGTGATTTCTTTTTTTTAATGTTTATAACATTAAAATTAAGATAATGCACAGATGCATTTCTTTTGTTCCAAAAGTTTCTTAGCCAATTTCGTTTATTTAAATGTCTATATATCAATTCAATCTATTTTATTATTATTTTGACAATTATATATATTTTTACCCTAAAACAGTTTTCATTTTTTTTATAAAAAATTGAAAAATATTTAATTTAATATTTCTTTACATAGACAGATACAACCAATATGAATTTTCACTAATTCTGACATGTTCAGTAGCCACTTAGTCACCACTATTTCTTTGAAACTGTTGTTGAAGTTTCCACAGTAGGATTGGAATGTTTTGTCATATGTAACTAAATTCAAAGGTTCTATTGTATAAATATACCCATGGTAATCAGGTAGAGGAATGTCATTGATACTCTCTTTTGTACTTTCATTTATTGCAATTTTATATTGATAATTTACTCATCTTATTGTTTCTCTGTTTTATTGATTTACCATTGCTAACATTGTATCAGAGCTGATGCCTCACAACTAAGCATTTATTTTGGTATGATAAGTGATCCCGACTCTTTCTATATATGTTAATGTGATGTATGCGATTATATTCTTAATTTTTCCTTACTTATAATTCTTACTTTATAACGGTGCCAAAAACTTGATCACCAGCAACAACTAGGCACAAACTTGACTTGAAAGCAAATAAAAATATAATTATTATATTTAAATATGGGATATTACGCAAAGTATGCGTATTTTTTCAAGTAATATAGGACTTTTTGGTTAAGTCTCAAATATCGAATCCACAGGAAAAACTACAATATGCAACTACAAAACAAAATAAATTAGATAGCAAATTCTACTTAGCAAAATAATCTTACTTAAACTCTAGATACTATAATATGAATGAATGTTCAATTCTTTTTGTAATTTTTGATAATTAAAAATGAAGTAAACAACTAATTAACTTAACTAGATATTTGTAAGATGAGTGTAATATAAATAAAATATTTTTTTTTCTTATTATGAATCGGTAAAATGTATAGAAATTATGTTGTGAAAGTATTTGAATTTTGTTCTGCCAAATATGAGCAATAATATTTTTTACCCTTATTAGAGATGCTATAAATAATATTGGTTAATTTATAGTTTGAATAATCTTGAAGACGAGTTAGGTAAGGAAGATAATAGCTCTCACTCTAGAGTTCCCTTTTCTCCCTCCACCTGGGGGCTAACATCTCGTATCAAAACCTAAAACTATAAATCAATTGGGGGCTTTAGATTGTTACTCTAAAGTCCTCTAATTCTACACCTTGCAAAGTTTATTTTCCTATTTATTTGTACTCAATCATATGAATTACATTTTAATCCATACAATTCATGTGATTTTTACCATATGTTGACTGAGACAATACCATCACAGATCTTACATGTTCTCACAACAGATATTAACATTTTAATTGGCCAAATCTAAGGTTTAAAATCATCACAACTTCTTCCAACATTAAAGACTAATATTTCACACAACTTCCATCCAATACTTAATCACTTATCATTTTAAGGAAGAAACATAAAGAACATTACTCATAATCCATGGAGAGAACATTACTGCTCAGTTGAATGTTCTAATATATAATATTAAAAATATCTTAAATCGCTCTTTCAACGAATAATCAACCTTACTGGAGGTCTCAACTTTTGAAAATATTCCAAATTGATGGATTTGATAGATTTCTTGATGATAACATTATTTATATTGTTAAAGGTCTAATCTGTTTTGATTGTATAACACCGCAAACCTCATTGCACTCTATTCTTCCCTACATAGACCAAAATATTCCAGCAGCCCTTTATTCAATCATTTTCCTTTCTATTCTTCCCTACATTCTAAATCTTGAAACCTATACCAAGATATGAAAAACATTGAAAAACGCTTACAATCCACAGCTGTCTGTTGTATTGTCCTCCTCAAAAATGAATTGCACCATAGCATATTGAAGGATCTAACTGTAACTCAATATTTATCTACATTCAAAGCTAATGTGGATACAATAACTGCTACGAACACTATCCTGGATTTGAAAGATGTTATACTATATATATTAAATGGTCTTCCCTCCTCCTATCAATCCTTAAAACAGCTTTACTAACAAGCCTTTGGCTCATTAGCCTCGATGATTTATATTCATTTACTTGTAGTTAAGGTGTTCAATTTTACAACTGAAGCTATATGAGATTGCCTATTGGAAAGATAAACAAAAAAAGTTATGTGCTGATGGTTCAAATGGATTACGTAAACACTACTATTATTTCTTCAATTTTATCACTATCCCATGTTAAAATATTTATAAAAGTAGTATGAGAGTATATTGCCTTAGCATTGCAAAAATCTTGCACATGCCTGATAAGTTGAGAGCTACTCTTAAGAAACATGAGATTTTTTTTACACAAAAAGTTGAAAAGAGAAAAATCACTAGATCTAGCCTAATATTAAAATGAATACCATCATGCATGGTATATTATAAAGGGTATTCTTTTTCATACCATACATCTAAGAGGAATTGTGGAATGTATTGTGGGGGAGTTAGAATTACTGGGACACATGAGTTGTCAACAACAACATCAACAACAACAACAAAGCCTTAATCCCACTACGTGGGGTCGGCTACATGAATCCTTTTTCTCCATTGCATCCTTAGTGTCATATTTTCCATTTAGTTGTCATTGAATGAAAATGGACAATAAACTTGGTTGGAGTCGTGATTGAGAAGATGAGTGTTGGACATCAATTGCTGATGAATGTTGGATGTTGATTGTTGGTTGGTGTCAAACGAGAATTGATAAGAAACTTCTTAGATTGGGCGTCATTCGGGCAATCTGAATTTTTTGTTATCCTTGTAGAAATGGAGATCAGATAATGAAGAAGGCATTTGTCAAATGTCAGAGTTATTTACATCATTCATTTCTCTTTGGCATGTGCATAAGGCAATGATCGATGAAAAATGTTAGGAGTTTGGCAATGTTGTGTAGTTAACGTAGTTGCTCTTCTTGTAAGTAGGAAGTTCATGCGACCATGGAGATAAGGTATTCCATATTGATGATTGGAAGATATTGGCATTAGTTGGTTTCGGTGTTGAAGTCGATACACTAGAAGTGTTATAGTGATGTTGGATGGTCTTACTTGATCATACATAGATTAGGAAACTAGATAACTGGGAAGATGCTAGTTTTTAACAGATGTGAAACACCACTCTTTGATAAGGCATCAGGCTACAATTGATGAGACACATTAGAAATTGGGTGAGTTTAAGTGGTCTGATGTCATCATTCTCCTTATAAGTGAGGCGATTAGTTTATTTGGGACATCTTTTCGCCTGCTTTGCGTTTCAAACCGCCACCATAAATTTATTTGGTGAGTTACTTTCTTGCTGTTTCTTTGAAATTTTTGTGATGGAAGTTATTTTTTTTAACCTGAATTGTTAAATTGTAGTGGCTATAAGAAATTGCATAGTTCTATAACATTGTGGTGTGAAATAGATGAAGTTCATTTAATTATGCATGAAGTTATGAAACCAATTTTTAAAAAAATCTTGCTCAAATTATTAAACTTGATTTAGATGATACATTCCACTTATTTGATGAAGAGAAAACGGTGAAAAATTCTTATTTTAAAAATAAATGCAGCTAGATTTCCGGAACTACAGTACTCTGAAAATATTAATTTAGACTGAATTGATATATTTAAAGTTTAAGATAAGAAATTATCTAAAGAAATTAGAAACAAAGAACACATGTATGCAATGTTTAAATTTTAATTTTAAAAAATAAATAAAGATGAATTGTTGACTTCTATTGAGCCACTGATTGGCTTTGGCTGGAGCAAATCATTGGCTGGCTGCTAATCAAAGCCAATGATTGGCTTCATGCAAGCCATTTATTTTCAACTTTGAATGTTCAAGAGCCCTTTTTCTCATTATTATCAATTTGTAAATAAGCTTTATTAGATTTATAATGACAATCACTAGCCGTTATTACTTATTATTTATTTTTATTTCCTCATTATGCATTTTCCTATCTGTTTTATTCTGTTTTATTTTATTTTATTTATTTCGTTTATTATGTCTATTATAATTGAGTATAAATATCCCTCCTATCAATAATAAAGAGTCACTCTATTCCAAATTTCAACATGGTATCAAAGTCAAACCTTAAATCCGACAGCCACTAAACTCCTTTGCCGATTCCTGCAGGCGTCTCCTAGCTGCCGGCTCAGCAGGTTCCAACAACTGTAGATCTAGTTCGTTCCAGCAAGTACAGTCACCAGGTTTAGCCTTCTAGCTGCCGGCTCTGCAGATTCCAATGACCGCATGTCTAGTCTGTTCCAGCAAGCGCAGTCACCAGGCTTAGCCTTCCACCGGCTGAAAGTTCCAACAGCTATCGATTCCAGCGCCTCCGCCGATCTCCTTTGTTTCAGTAGCCGCCAATGCTACAGGAAACATTTCCCTCTTTTTGTCCAGCAGCCACTGGTCCTCTCACTGCAGAAATCTGGACACTTGCAGGAAAAATTTTCTATGTCGGTCTTCCCTGCAAGTGTCCAAATTTCTGCAGTTGTATCCTTTTGTCGTGACTATATCAGAATTCATTGATGGCTCATAACCACTATAACATCTTCTTTGGCTCAGATGGAACTATGGTGGATTCCTCCAACAATGAACCACTTTCATAAGGTATTATTGACCCCATCGGAGGATCGATTCCAACCTCCGCTCTTGTAGACCGCAGGATCGGAAACTAACATGAACTTCTTGATCACAACCCATAAACCGAACGACAGTAACTTTCTCCAATGGTCCCAAGCGGTGTCTTTGTTCATTAAAGGACGTGAGAAGTTCAGTCATCTCACAGATATGATTCGTGAGCATCCAGAGACTGAGCAGACATATAGAGCTTGGGAGGTCGAGAACTCCATAGTCATGTCGTGGAGATCAACTGCATGGAGACTTCAATTGGTCGTTCATATATTTTTCTCCCTTCAGCTAGTGCTTTCTGGACGACAGTCTGTGATACCTATTCAGATGTAGGAAACTTTGACTAACTCTATGAGATTTCTAAGAAATTCAGGAGGCAAAACATGGGTCAAGGACTGTGATTCGGTACTATAATGACCTTGTTGCACTATGGATGAAATGCGACCTGTACTACGACTACACGTGGGACTCTCCGAACGACCTATCTCTTTTTCAAAAGATTGCAGAAAAGGATAGCATGTTCCTATTCCTAGCTGGCCTTAACTAAGACCTCAACGAAGTCTAGGGTCGTATTCTTGGTTGGCATCCTCTTACTTCTGCTCGTGCTGCTTTCACTGAGATTCGTCGGAAAGAAAGTCAGAAACTTGTCATGCTTGACACTTCTAATCTTTCAACTGAATCGTCCGTCTTGATCTCAAATAGCGCTCAACCCTCGTTTGTGCCACCTTGGACTGGTCATCCCACTTGTAATTACTGTCACAAACCCAACCATATTTGGGATTAGTGTTGGAAACTTCACGCGAAGCTAGCAAACAAACCTTCGGCTAAATTTTCCGCCAAAAGGGTCTCACGGAGAAGTTTGAGTCTACCACAACTCAACCGACTCATATATCTGGAACATCTCAGGATACTCTGAATTGCTAAAAAATCGGATGAAATAATTGGTCAAGCTTCTTGGTACCAATAAAGTCCATCGACCTCCCAGGTTCGACATGATACTCTTTCTGTGACTCTCATGGTTTATTCATTCTCTAATCAATGTTTTATTGATTCAGGTGTCATGGATTACATGATTAAATGTTTGCAATTTTTCTCGACTTACTATCCGTGCTCTGGAAAAAATACATTCAGGATTACTGATGGTTTTTGTAGTTCCATTGCTGGTAAAAGGTCAGTTGTACAACCAACCGGTCTAACTCTAGAGTCTGTTTTGCATGTTCCTTTGTTGCAATGTAACTTGTTATTTGTCAACAAGTTGGCACAAATAACATCGATTGCGTTGTTAATTTTTCTTATGATGGTTGTGTTTTTTAGGGTCATGGTTCGGGAAGGATAATTCGAATTGCTGAAAGAGTCATTGGACTCTACTGCTTCTAAGAGGAGAGCATGGAGAGTGAGGACACACAACTCAGGAGTTGTAGCTTATCTCGAGTCATTAAATGTTTCATTATGTTGTTGCATTGTCATTTGAGTCATCCTAGTTTTTAATATTTAAAAAATTTATATCCTTTGATGTTTTCTGATAAAGTCTTTTTAACTTCCATTGTAAGACATTTCAGTTAGTCAAGTATCATTGGGTCCATTACCCACCCCATACTTACACACCTTCCACTCTTTTCTCCATCATTCACAGTGATATATGAGGACCCCTGCACTTCTAGCTACACCAATAAATGGTGATTCCTAATCTTAATTGATGACCATAGTCAATTGACGTTAGTCTATATTTTAAAAGACAAATTGGAAGTTGCTGTCACCTTCTAAAACTTCTATACATATGTTTAACTCATTTCAAAACTCCTATTCAGGTCCTTCTGACCGACAATGACCGTGAGTTTTTTAATTATATTTTGGGTGAGTTCTTGGTAAGGGTATTTTTCATCATAGCTCGTGTACGGACACTTCTCAAAAAAATGAGATGGTCGAGAGGAAAAATCATCACCTCATCGACATTGCTCGTTCCATTATGTTTAAATCCAGTATCCCGAAATGGTTCAGGAACGATGTCATTTTGACTGTCACTTATCTCATAAATAGAGTCCACTCTAAAATTCACAAGTTCTGTGCCCCCTTAGCTTTCCTGATGTCATGCTTCCATACAATCAGATCTTCTCCACATTAGATCCCAAAATTTTTGGGTGCACGACCTTTATTTGGAACACTGCCGCACTCGGAGTAAACTTGATCCTAGATCCGTAAAATGTATCCTTCTAGGATACTCTACAACTCAAAAGGGGTATCAGTGTTGTGACCATACCACAAATAAAATCTTTATGAGTGTTGATGTCTCCTTTGAAAATGTTCCCTATTTTTCTAGCTCTGCCTCAAGTGAGGGAAAGCTTGAGTTCTCAGACACTATCCTTTATCCTACTCCCATGGATGTTCCCCCCATTGTTCTTACCACTGAGGAGTCCTCCGTTCCGTTGAGTACACCATCTCCTCCTCCCATTGTCTGTGTCTACACTTGACTCACCTGTCCTAATGCTTCTACTCTGGAGCCTGCTACCTCCTTACAGGATCTTGATTCCACTTCGGGCGACATCTTCAACACGACCCCTCCTCGGAATGAGAAGGTGTGCTCTCTAAGTATAGCACACAATTAGACATGCTCTCTCAGTTCTATGATAAAATATGTCTCTTTCCACAATCTATCACTGACGTAGAGAGCATTTATTACTGCTTTCACAGACCATCGGATCCCAACAACTATTGGGGTTGCTCTTGTTGATCCAGCCTAGAAAACGATAGTAATATAGGAGGTGAATGCCCTTCAATGGAACCATACGTTAGACGTCATGAATCTTCCTCAAGGTAAGGAAGTTGTAAGGTGACAACAGGACACACTTGGTCGGCAAAGGATACTCACAGACCTACAAAGTTGACTATGAGGAAGCATTTGCTCCAGTGGCTAAGTTAAACACAATTCGGTTCCTGTTGTCACTTGTGATGAATTTGGATTGACTTTTATTCCAATTAGATGTTAAGAATGCATTCTTGAATAGAGAGCTTACAGAAGATGTGTACATGCCTCTCTCTCTTGACTTTAACTCTTCTACCTCCAAAATATAAATCTGCAGGTTACGAAAGTCTCTCTACGACCTAAAGCAATCTCAAAGGTCTGGTCCGATAAGTTCACAAAAGTTCTCGTCGACCATGGTTTTACTCAGACTCAATCAGACCACACTCTTTTCTTCCGACATTCTTCCAATGGTCAAGTAGCTATTCTTATTGTCTATGTTAACGATCTTGTTCTTACAGGTAACAATCTCCCTGCATTGGAGTCCTTGAAAGACGTTTTTTGCTACGTATTTTAAAATGAAGGACTTAGAATCTTTTCGATGCCTTTTAGGAATGGAAGTGGCGCGGTCATCTCGGGGCATTTGCTTGTCTCAGTGCAAGTATGTGCTTGATCTATTGGCAGAGAACAACATTTTTCTCTACAAACATGTTCCTATGGATCCCAATGAAAAATTATCTAACATTTCCAATGTTGTGTCTGTGAACAAGACTCATTATCAGCGTCTTGTGGGAAAACTCATCTACCTCGCCCATACTTGCCCTGACATATGTCATGCAATTGGTATAGTGATTCAATTCATGCATGACTCCTATGAGCACCATCTCCAAGCTGTCAACCAGATTCTTCACCATTTAAAAGATACACTGAGCTCAAGTTTGTTTTTCTCTTGCCATACTTCTCAGTCTATTGTTATTTGTACAGATGCTGATTGCGTTAGATTTATTCATGATCAACGCTCCACTCTATCGTATTGCTCTTTTGTATGAGGCAATATTGTCATGTGAAAAAAAACAAAAAATAATCCGTGGTTGCTCGGAGCAGCGTTGAAGCTGAATTTCGGTCTATGTCTTTGGTAATGCATCACGCTCCATGAATTTCATATGCCAATCTCCGTCCCGCTGTAGCTATTCTGTGATAATATGACCGCAATCAACATTACTCACAATCCAATTCTGGAAGATCGTACCAAACATACGGAGATTGACAGACACTTCATTAAGGATAAGATTGAGTCCGGAAAAATTTGTTTTCCTTTTGTACCCTTCAGTGGTCAACTAACGGACATCCTCGCCAAGAATATTTCTTGCCCTTTGTTCAATAATTTCAAATTCAAGTTGAGCATGATTATCATTTATATTTCAACTTCAGGGGGAATATTAGATTTATACGGACAAATCTCTAGTTGTTATTACTTTTTATTTGCGTTTATTTCCTCATTATGAATTTTCCCATTTGCTCTATTTTGTTTTATTTCTTTCTTATTTGATTAATTCTGTTTTATTTTTTTCATTTATTATGTCTATTTTAATTGTGTAAATACTCCTATCAATAATAAAGAGCTGCTGCATTCCAAATCTCAACAAGTTTCTTTAAAAAATGTCTCCTTGTGAATTTGGTGCATTTTTCATTTTAGTACTTTTTTCTTCTTTTTGGAATAAAAGTAGAAATTTTTTAAATCTAAGTTTTTTCTTCTCATAATTCTTTGTTTTTACAGTGGTATTCTAGTTATTTTTTCCTTACATAAATAGCTGAAATTTTAAAAATAAATTAATTCTGAAAGCCTTTTAGCACATTGTTTATGGGGCAGGCATTTGCAGAGATATTATTTTTGTTGTTGTTTACCTAATGGAAGAAAATAAGCCTAATCCTTCTTGAAGGAAAATTACATGCTATAGATTGGATGATTTGTATTTAAAAAAGGGACATTTACCTACATCTGACACCTGAACTTTAATTTTTGTATTTGTACTACCTAAATCTTTCATATCATATTCAAAATACCACACTTTAAAATTTATAAAGTGAATTACACCTTTTTTATGCATAGGTAAGTTGGCATTTATGTAAAAATTAAGTTTAGGTGTCAGAGATGTAAATGCATAGGAATTAAGTGGTATGTATGTAAAACTTCCTAAAAGAATATATTGAAATGTGATGAAGCATCTTGAGCAGGTTGAGCTTTGCAATCATTGTAGATTGATGTAACGTTCTAGTACAGACTGTTGTATCTCTAGTATTGTTCTTGGAAGATAATGGAACTTTAGACATTTATATTGCAAAACTGAATTCTTGCAGAATCATATTTCTGTTCATCAATATCATTATAGTTAGACATGCTGTTCCTGTCCAAAATTTTATATGTTTGTAATCCTTTATTTTCCAAGGACTGAGATTTTTTAGAACTGATTTTCTGGATGATGTAATTTTGTGGTAGATAGCTTGCTGCAGCCTAACAAACCTTAAATGCAGCTGTTTTTTTTTTTTTTTTGGAATCATCCTATCCTTTTATTCTTGGTTGCTTTCATGCGGTTAGGTCTGGTATTTTCCTTCCTTATCTATTAGTCTATCTCTTGAAATTCTTTCCCTTAGAGCTAATGCTCATTATGGAAAGTAATGACTATGACCTTTGTTTTTGGTATGTGGCTCCTTTCTTGGAATGCGTATATTATATTTTCTAAAGATATGCTGGCTGTTTAATTCCGAGGCAGCTGCTTTGTCTTCAATATTACCTAATATACAATATTGAATACAATATGTGAACAATCGTTAAAGGAAAATATAATGGGGCTTAGCCTAGTTGAACAAATTTTACTTGTGTGAGTTGAATAGAGAAGGCAATAATATAATGTAATAGATAGAAATCATAGAAAATATCTTATGTGTTCATGGGAAGCTCGAGTTGCCATTGAAAGGTGGAGAAAAGGCTCAATCAGGGACTGGACGACTAAGAGGCGTGTTGGACATCTGCTGCTAACAAATATCAGATATTGGTTATGGTTTGGTGTCTAGTGGCGATAAAGAATGATGGAGGTGGGTAATGTTCGGACAAACCAACTTGGTTATTTTTTGTTATAGAAGTGAAGATCGAATGATTGTGAGTGTTTGTGTTAGATGTCGGTGGAGGACGGACATCAAAGGTATGATATGAAATAATCCATGTACTCTACTTTTTTAGTTTATTTTATTGGTTTTTAAATCTATGTAATCTACTTGCTGCTTTTGTAAGATAAGAGATTGGGTTGAGAAGAAAGGGTGTTGGATGTTAGTGATTGGTAGTGCTACTTTTTGGTAGGTCTTAGATTATGATTGGCGAGGAACGATTCAGGTCGGGAAGCGTCCGGCTGTACGACTCGATCATTTGCATTGTAGGAGGGGAGATTGAATGATAGGGAAGGCTTGCACAAGGGTAGTTGACTGGCATCCAACATCACTCTTTGATATGGTCTGGAAAACTATCAATTAAGAATGTCGTGGTAGCACTCGTTGAGCAGTCTGACTCAAACTTTCTCCTTATAGGAGAGCATATCGAACTATCAGGAAAGCTAATGTCGAACATTGATGGCTAACGGATGTCGAGCGTCACTATTTAGCATGTGTCCAGAGGCATTTGATGAGTGATATTGGAGGTCAGTTAATGTTGGGTAGTTTGACCTGAACGTTTGTGGATGATGAAAATCAAATGTCACCAAAACCTCATTTCTTTTCTCTCTCAACACTTGAGCCCCCATAGGAGTAGAGCCTATTTATAAATTTTCGAAAGGGATGCCTATTCAATTTTTTCTATTTATCAAGAACTACGGTCCAAGTTGATCCCCTTTGATCTTGATATATATATATATATATATATATACATATATATATATATATATAAGCATCTCAATATCTTAATTAATTTAAAATTGTGCAAGGGTTTGTTGGATTTATCTCTTCAAGGTGCTTGTTTTGATCAAAGCATGCTAAATTTCCAATAAATAGAGAAGTTTTCTATTGTGTTTATAGTGCTTGATTTGAGTACATTTGGACTCTCGGATCAAGTCCCAGTACTTTTGGGTTTGTTACACTGAATTGTATTATCTTGAGTAAAAATTTGCTGAAAATGGGGTTCGACTGATGTTGAATTTGATTCTAGAAAGTTTATGACCCTAGATTCTTTAAGCGCCAATATTTACTTCAAAATTGGTGTGAGAAGAGCTGAAATTTCTAGAACTATCAACCATGTTCTACCGTGGCTCAAATTCCTTTCCAACAAGAGTTTATAAAGTAGCTGAAGGACTAAGAATTATTTGTCCTAAGACATTACAAGGATATTGTCTGTGAATATGATTATCGTGAGCTAAAATTCTTGTTAATTTCATATTTGTACTTCATCTCAAATTGTATCCGGTGTATTATCATATCAAGCATATCTTCTACTTCATAGTTTAAATTTTGTATTTTAATATTTATTCTTCTTCATATTTGTATTCAAACTATTTCTATAACTATAATTATTTATGAAGTGTTATGTTGATGTTAATAAATGACATCTTATATAATTAATTTTAGAAATAAATGACGTAGTTCTATAACTTTGTGCATAAATGCATTTAATTTGCTTGAAATTATGAAACCAGTATTTCAATTTTTTTTTGTCAAAAGCAAATGGCGAAAAAAATTTTTGTTGTGACAATGAATGCTGCGAGGTTCCCTAGATATAGTACTTATGATTTATTTTTTCAGATTGAATTGATATGCTACAGTTTAAAATCAGAAATTGATCTCATCGTCAGTCTGTGCATGAGCTTCTAGGCTATGTCTCGTCTTTACTTGAATAAACTGCTTCTACTTCTACTGGAATGAAGCGACGTTCGTGAGAAAAAAATTCGTATTCCGTCGAATTTCAGATCTACCTCTCTCACGACTGTCTTCTTTACTTTAGTGTGCAGCTTTTATCTGTATATCTCGGTCGTCCTTTTTTAGACTACAATCGGTGACGATCTTTTTGACTGAAAATTTTGATCAAAAGAATTCATGCATGCAATATTTAAGACTTAAATTAAAAAAAAAAAGATTTTTGTTTTTAAAAAGGTGTTATCCTGGCTTTCTTTCCAAACATGAATAAGTTTGATTACTTAAAACTAAATGAACTTGAAATCCTTTCGACTATTTTGTTTTTTTTCCTTAAATTTTATAGAGTAGGCAGTTGTGATATTTTTGTTGTTGTTGGGATGACTTAATTAATATCAATAAAAATATTGCCATGTGATTAATAGTGCTGAATACTTGTTCATTTGCAATCGTTATTGTTTGATGTGATGTTGCAGTACAAACTGTTGCATTTGCTCATTAGATTGCAGTTATATTACAAAGTTGAATACTTGCAAAAACATATTGCTTTTTATTACTATCATTTAAGTTAGATATGCTGTCCTGGACAGAATGTTGTGTGTTTATAATCCTTTACCTTGTTGGATTTTTGTAAAATTGATTTATGTTTCATTAAGGGGCTGTTTGTTATGATGAAAAAAGGAATGGGGTGTAATTGAAATTTAATGTATTTAACGTATTTTAAAGTTAGTTGATTGGGTATAAAATAAGTGCAAAAGTTAATTCCTTCTTTTTTTTTTTCTTTTTTTCTTCAGGGAGTATATGAAATCAATATAAAATCTGGCGGCAGCTGGTTGGTGGTGGTTGTAGACAACAATGGGCAGCCGTGATGGCGGCCATTAGGGGGATGGCAATGATGGCAACCAATTGCAATGGCAGCTAGCAGTGGTGCTCGAAGCCGACAGTTCCTGCAGTGTATTTAAAAATTGATCAAATCGAGCAGGTTTGAAATACACCAAAAATGAACAATACGGTGAGTTTGGCATTCATTAAACCCTTACTTTGCATTCCAAATTCATCAAACTGAACACTAGAATTCTTAAAACCCCTGTTTTCTAAATGCAATAAGCCCATTTTTTATCCAACCAAGCGCCACTTAATAACATCCCATGCTTTTTTGTCTCAAAATAATATTATTGTGCAGAAGCCCGCTCAGTGCAGGCTTGTAAATCTTAAATTTTGCTGCTTTCTTTTTGTTGGATTTATTCCTTCTGTTTCATTCTTGGCTGCCTTCATTGTCTTTGTGCAGGTAATGGATTTTATGAAATTTCTTACCTATATTTTGTCCCTTAAGATTCTAGCCTTACAGCAACTCGGCAAGTAACAACCCTTACCTTTATTGCTGGTATGTGCTACGTTTCTTGTTACATCTATATTCCTTTAATCACTACTTTAATTTAACTATGTTTTCTTAATGATAAGCCGGTTGTTTAATTGCTGGGACGGCCATCTATATATTGCTCTTAAAATAAAGTGCCAAAATAGCCCCTCAAGTCTTGACTATTTGCATTAGGCTATTTTAATCTCAGAGTCTACAAGAGAGAGTCATCTTAGATGGTTTGATCACATTAAATGTCGACCATTCGATGATCCGATTGGGAGAGTAAATATTTTAGAATCGACTTATGCTAAGAAAGGAAGAGGTAGATCTAGAAAGACTTGGGCTTATTGTATAAACAATGATCTTAATTTATTAGAACTAAATGCAAATATGACACTAAATAGGACGAAATGGAGAAAATGGAGAAAAAAAAAAGGATTCATGTAACCTATAGGAAATGAAGTCTTTGTTGTGTTGTTGTTGTATTCTATAAAAGTATCAATTTTGTCCCCAGGCTTTTTTAATTGGGGCTAAAATAGTCCTCCCTCAGATTATTTCATCCTATATTTAAACAGGACGAGGATTAAGTTGATACTTTTATAAATTATGGGACTAAAATGACCCTTGTTAAAAGTCAAGGACCATTTTGACACCTTTTTCCTTACTCTGATAATATGGTTATGTTTTTGCAATCCCTTTCCTGCAGGTAGATGCATTGTTCAGCATTGCTCAAGGACACCGACAACACACTGCATCCAGCAATTTATGAGAAAACTTGGCGAGTTCAGTCGTGTATTTGATGTGCCTGTTTCCAATATTTAAAGTGTTTTCTCTATATTTTTTTTATTGCATAAAATTATACCTGGTATTTGACCATAATTAGGTTGATTTCATGTTTTACAATTGTTCTGACTGTGGCACTAATGCTTAATGTCCTGGTTCGTTTCTATTTTTCTTTCTCAATTGGGCCTGTCATGCCATTTAATATATTATCTTTGTGTATTACTGGGCTTTTGAGCATGCTAGGATTGGGCTTTTGGGCCATCGCGTCAGCCAATTGATTTTTGAAGGTTTTACATATATGCCACTCAATTCCTATGTGTTTACATATTTAACACTTAAATTTCTTTTTTCTTTTTTAACATGTATGCCACCATAGATATGCATGAAAACATAGGACTTCAAATTTATGGATGTAGTCCGAAGAAATGAGCATGTATGTCAAATGCTCACATGGTAGCATATAGGGCTGTAAACGAGTCGAGCTTGCTTGAGCGAGCTCAGACTTAGCTTGTGTTCGGCTCGTTAGAAATTGCTCGTGTTCGAAATTGGCTTGTGAGTGTGTTAGTGTTCCACTCGAAATTGGGTCGTTAAAATTAACTAGAAAAAATAAATGTAGAGTGTTGGATTCGAGTCTCGATCAAATCTGTGTAAAAAAAAAACACATAATCACATTACCACGATCTGTCATGATTTACATTTAAATGTAAATATATATAATTTATTATTATATTAATAATGTAAAATATATTATTATCTAAATAATTATATGATTTCTTTTTTTACGAGTTAAAACGAGCTGAGGAGGAACAAATAAAGAGTTATTCGTATTTGACTTGTTTATAATTAGAGCTTAAGAAATTATTTATGTTCGGTTCGTTTACTTAACGAACGAACGGAACAAGAGCTGTTTGCGAACAACGAGCTTTTTTTTTGACAATTCTAATAGCATATTGAGTCGAAATAAAATAAATAATCTCAAAATTTTGAGTTGGATGTTCATGATGTCCCTAAAACAAGGAACATGTCATAAAAAAAGCTTTGTTTTGCTCCATTGCCAATCCTCTTAACGATATATTTAGGAAAAAACAAATGTGTTGACATTTTCTCAGTTTGTAGACTTGAAGCATATACTAAAAAATAAATATTAATTTAAAACATATATTAATAAATAAATATTAATTTTTCATCAATTCAATGTATAATAATCTAACTCTAGAATTTTTTTTTCTCTTGAATATTTTGAATATGATTTTAAACTGAAACGTAATATTTTAATTAATCATTTCATTATTAGTCACACATAGGGCTGTAAACGAGCCGAGTTTAGCGAGGTCAGGCTTGGCTCGTGTTCGGCTCATTCAAAATTGCTCATGTTCAAAATCGGCTCGTGTTCGAAACCAGCTCGTGAACAGTGTGTTCTTGTTCGATTTATATATTTGTGTTCGTGTTCGGCTCGAAATTGGCTCGTCAAAATTAAACTGAAAAAATAGATGTATAGTGTTGGATTCGAACCTAGATCAAATATATTCAAAACAAGACACATAACCACATTGTCATATGAGCAACTATGCTCTAATCATAGTATATATATATATATATATATATATATATATCGAACTAAAAAGAGCCGAACACGAGCTACTTAACGAGTCGAACACGAGCTGTTTGCGAACAACGAGTTTTTTTGGCAGCCTAAGTCACGCAATCAAAATCAAAAGGCCAAATTTTGATTAATATTAAAGCCAAGTTAAATTACCTCGAGGTAAACTGAACATGTTACTACTTGCCCTACAATTAATTATAGTTTACATTAATGCAATAATTAAATAGTGTCTGTAGCTATTTATTATTATTATTGTTATATCAATCAAGAGAGCAAATTCGCTTGTTCAATTAAGGCCACTTGGCCAACATAGTTATGTATAAATCATGAAAAGACCAAAGCTATTCCTGCAGTTAAGCGTGCTGCTTCATACCACAATTTGGAAGCAGGAACAGTGCAATGAATCATTTGACAAGATAACTCCTTCAACTTTCTAATCATTCAATAGTTCTTCTTATTAAAGTACATATGATTTGGGTCTCATTTATTGCTTCCTCTATCAATTATTCATTTCTCTTTTCATTTTGGCAAAATTGATTTTTAAAATGAAATTTCATGGAGAGATGGGAAAGTAGTTAATTAGTTAGCCCTTATTTTCATATAATCATATTGTTGTTAATAAATAAATATATTTCTCTGTCCTATTTGTTAATGTGATGTAGTTAAGTTCTTATCATATCAAATACTTGTATGGTGTGATTATGGTCTTTTAATGAGTTGAAGTGATCTTATAAAATATATGCGAAAAGGTTGACATTTTGGTTGTCAGCGGTGTCGAGGCTCGCCTTGAATAGCACATTATCAACTTGGAGTAGCCTGCAAATATTACAATCCATTTTTTTTAAAGTGACCTTATAAAATATTTTAATTAATGTCATCTCCTCAAACTAATATTTGGTTGCCTTTATAAATTAATTTTTTGAAGAAGTTAACATCATATAATCACAAGTAAAAGAGTGGAACGAGAGAGGGGATGTCTATCAAAAGAGCAAATTACAACATTTTTAGGGGCTTCTGAGCGAAGTGTTATATATATTTTTTTTCAAGTTGAAAGAGTTGATGTTAGTTTATTCTTGTCTATATCTCCCCCGATCTTTCTAGGAAGCGAGTTTGTTTAGTCTCAAGTAATTTTCAAGAGAAAATGGTACATTTGTCTTCTTCTTTAACCCTATATATAAGAAAAAAATGAAATATCTATGTTCTTAAGCTTAGTGTAATATTAAATTTACATGCTATCATATTTACATATTTCTAACTACTTGAATAAAGGGAGAAAAATGCAAGAGTGTAAGTTTAGAGAAAGTGCATTGAGAACTTTATAGATGAGCCTATTTCATTTAATTTTTTTAGCAACGGCTAGATGATCAACTTAGGGTCTTTTTGGGGCAGTTGCAGCTTTTTGAAGAAGCAACTGTGAAACTGCTAAAAATAAACTGTTGTTCAAAAAAACTGCGGTGACTATTATATATATTTAAAAAAAAAAAGTTACACCACAAAGCCACTGTAGGTTGCCAGGTGTGGTGGGAAAATGCAGCTTTCAAGTATAGTTTTATTTAAAAACACAGACAAAATATAGTTTTGTCAAACAAGACAAACTGCAGTGGTCAACACACCGCCATAAAAATAAGAAGAATTAATTAAGCTAAAATATTAAATGTTTCTACTTTTTATTTTTAATGACGACGCTTTATTTGAAAAAAATATAATCGTTCCCTCTTCCTTATTAAAAGATACAAAAAAAAAGAAAACCGTACATAAATAAGTCAACTATATATCCAACTTGGTAAGCTCTAATTCATTGAGTGGAGAAATGCCACCAGATATGGGTAAAAAATCTCTTAAAACATTGAATTTTTTCGAAAATGAGTTTAATTATTTGAAGTATATCAGAGAGCTTAGGGTCATCAAATATGCAGCTTGTCTTGTTAAATGATAATGAGTTAGAAGGGCAAGTTACAGAAAAGTTATATTTAGTTGGCATGCATGGTGAAGCAATTGAGATAATCTAAGACTTACTTTTGTCTCATAGGTTGTTAGATTAGAAGAATCTTTTTGGCTACAGTATCTCCCGATACTAACCCGTGCGCCTTATAGACAGCTAGGCAGGCAGACACCCCGATACAACCCCCTCAAATGATGATGACACCAAAAGGCTGCCATAATTTATGGTGATTTTGGACTTGCAAATGATCTTTAAAAATAGAATTATTTGAAGTTTCAAATGATAAATAAAAGAGATAAAGAAAAAATGAATTGTGATTTACAAGTAAAAAATAATTATTATTCAAGTCATTTAAAGAGGATAAAATTATTTATGCGTGACACAAGTTCTTGTGAATAATTTGATAACCAAAAATATAATGGTATTTGACTTCTCTTTGACTTCAAAATCATCATATTTAAAAGTGATCAAATAAAAATATATGTCCTAGTATTAATGAATCTTTATATGATATATTTTAACACCTAAAATGGGGGTTAAACTTGACTTGAATATAAAACATAATAAATTGGAGCTAAATATATATTGAATACCAAATTCTATAAATTGGTGTCTCAAGTTGACTTAATAATAAAATATCATAATTTTAGAGCTTGTAGCTTGACTTAAGTGAGTAGACAGTTTTATTTCTCCCTTGAATCGTATGGTGGTAGAATATAGTTTAATTTATTTTTGTGATTTGATTTATAATTTATTATAATAGCACTGAATGAGCTTTTATTTAATTTTCTTCTTATTTGGCTAGTAGGAATGTTAACACCCATCGTGACCTATGCGATCCGGAAGGATACATGGTGGAACGATAAAAGTAAACCACATAAAATCTTAGAAATAATATTATTACCTTGGAATTTATGCTAACATTCAAGGAGATAATTTAATTGAATTAGTCAAGGATTTAGGGAACTGCACTTTTATTAGTCAAATTTCCATATACCGCCGAAAGGGGATAGGGGATAGGTCAACTTCTGTTTGACACTAACTTTTAATCACTTGTTCAATTTATATTCTCCACTAAATCAATTCAAGCGAGGAACTTTTTGAAAATTGAATTTCGTATAAACATTTTTCTGCTCGCTAGATTAGACTAGTTTTTTCATAACTTTAGGAATATTTTAAACTTTAATTTGCATTTTGAACATTTCAACCTTGGACTGATAATAGTAGGCTATAACTTTTCTTAATTAAGTTCATCTCATTTCTTATGCGATCGACAACCGGACGTCAACTCCGGTATTACTGATACGCCTTGTATACTTGCGTGACTCGCACGTGCTTTGCAGTACCTGGTGTGTATCAAATAGCCATCAAGCATATCCCTAACCGCTTTTCTTATGCTTTCATCACTGTATTTCAAACCGATGTTATCATATTACAGACTGCTGTTGTCACCAAATATGGCATTTTGCAAGCTCTAGCTAGGTCTTCTTGATCATTATAAATTGTATCCATTCACTATTTAAGTTGTGTAAGCGCTTCCCCTCTAGAACCGATCATATGTATTTTGGGCCCCAACACCAAAGGGTTAATATTCATCTAGTTATTTTTCCTATAACATCATCTACTAGCTTAGAGCCATGCATTGTCTAGTTCTTAGAAATTTTTTCTCATCATCGTGCTTTCTTTCATTGAATTATCCTTAGGTGCATAAACTGAGAGCATTCTAATCATATTATAAACCAATGCATTTCTCTTATGAAAAGGTAAATTGATTTTACTTAATAATGTCTGATGATAAATTATCTAATTTGATTACTCCTTTTTAGTCTCTCTCTCTCTCTCTCTCTCTCTCTCTCTCTTTATGGAAATAATCAATTGGACTCCACATTTTGATCTCCTTTTGGATTGAATCACACTTATATGAATTGTTTTCTGTCGCCTCAAGCCTATCAATTCGATAAATTTTTTTTTTTTTTTTTTCATTTTACTTGCATTAATTCCTTGTTTTTATCTACCCATCTTGGTCCTCATTTGAGCTTCTATTACTTTAGTTTTGGAGGAATTTGATGTGATTAACTAAATTTTTAACTCGAAAGGAATCATATCAAAATATAATCATTATTATCACAAAAAGATGACTAAAAATATCCTTAAAATTTGTAAATTTTATCATCTTTTTAGGCATGAGAATTAATAACCCCTTTGTATATCTGATAAAAGCTGCATAAATAATAGCATGTCTGATTTAGTATATCCTTTAACAGCATAATCTAAGCCTTTTTTTTTAAGTGTTTCCTATTAAAATGGCTACTTTTTTTTCCCTAATAAGACACCTCCTCTTGAATACCAAACATTGGATCAACCAAAATGAGGGCAATGAGAGCTATCTACTATTTCAGACCCCAAATATTATGCTCAACATGAGAGTAATTTCTCTGCAAATGTTGTTCTTCCTCCTGTCAATTTTTCAATACAGTGACACCTTTATTCCATTATGGATCACTTATCTCTAACCAAAAACCCTCATTGACTTAAGGTCATATTTATGCAATCAAGTCCTTATTATATTTATAATTATATTACATTATAATATAATGCTGTGAGTTACTTCAAGAAACCTGCTTTGATTAAATGAGAAAAAAAATAAGAAGGAACACTAAGAAAAATACCCTAGCTAACTTTATAAGATTAGTAGAGATCAATGAGCCTCAAGGAAAATGGATAATGAAGCAACTCCTTTCTTTAGTTTATGGCTAGCTTATCTTCTATATATGGGCTACTCTTTTGTTATATTAAATAATTTAATCTAATCACCTAGGTGGCTTCTCATCTAATTTGAGGAGCTCAGCCTATTCCTTTTTAGTACTTTTCATTTTGATTAGTAAAATTTATTTTTTCTTAAAAATGATTATTCTTTATCAAAAATTATTATCAAATTTAGAAAAAATCAATCCATGTCTTAAAACAATTTTTAGAAAAGTAAATGACCAGAGCTACAAAGAACACATCTTTAAGCAAAAAACCGATCACATATCATTTGCTTGTTGAAAATTAAACAAGAAAAACACAAATTTTTGAAGTTCAAGATAACATAAATATAACTACTATTGTAATAATTAATATAGATTTGGTGGAATTCACACCTTGATCGACCACAGAAAAATAATGCAAAGGCAATCTTAGCCAAAGCTAAAATAAGTCAATTAAAGCAGCTATATACTATACAAAGGAGGGTGGAAATAAGACAAATAGCAACAAATAAAACTCTGATAGCAAATAAAAAACGGTGCCACCAAGTAAATTAAGGCTTTTGCAAGGAACCAGAGTTCAGAGATAGAACTGATCAAAAGGCTTGAAAACATTGCTTGATTCTCAATATTATTCTTAGAGATATTCTCATTTCCTCTCAAAAAGAGGAGTAAATCAAATAAACTATTATAATATAAAATAAGTTATATATTTAGGGAATGAATTAGTTTAGTAAAAATGTTTCATATTATGGACAAGTTTTCAATATTATGATAAACTTTCATATAATCCTTAAAACTTTTTTAATGAACTATAATCATATTTTAATTAATTCATAAGAAACCTTTAATTTGCGATCAAATTGATGAAATGACATGAAATATCTAAATGATTATAAAGCAACCACAACCCTCTCCTCACCATAATGACAAATCAAATATATATTAAACATCATAATAATTTCAAAGAAAACTAAGAGGCATATTAATCAAAGAGATAGAAGTCTGTAACAGCGTTTAGATAAAACTAAAAAAAAAAAAAAAAAGGCATGCAGCATTGTCTTCTTTTCACTGACGCTCAACATTGAAACTTGCAAAGACAGCTAAAAAAGAAATAGAGATCACAGCCTAATTCCTTTTTATGATAAGAGCAAAGAGAAAGAAGAGCCCTAAATCATTAGCAACAACCAAAACCCTAACTAAAATGGAGATATTCCCATGCTGGCTGCTGCTGCGGCTGCCAGAAATCCATCTTTTAACAGAATTTCCTCTCCTTCCTAAAACAACCAATTAATTAGAAAACTAACCATCACATCAAAATCCTCAAAAGGGAAACAGTGAAAGAGACTGAAAGCCAGACTTATAATAATAATGAGATTGTGTAAAATATGGATTTATTTGTAATGATTTAGAATTTAGAGAGAAGAGTAGAAGGATCACCGGAGGACGAACGGTGGTCTTCTTCATGGCCTGTTCGGGCATGAGCCCGAAATGAATGTGGGGGAAGTGGGCCCACTGGATACATAATAAAACTTGGTCAAAAGGTTGAAAGTGAACAAAATGAAACCCTAGCTAAGCCATGGTGGGATTCTTGTGGCTTACGTTCTTTGCTGCAGCGCTGAATGCTTCTCTGTGAGTAATGTCGGGGTTGCCAGCTTTGATGCGTTGGATTTCGTCCCTGAAAACGCAGTTCATAGTCAATGTTGCGAGAACTGTAACATTAATCTTATATAAATAATATCATATTTTCATAATTAAAAATATATCATATACCCCCATTCTATATCTCTTCTATATATCAAAGATTTTTTTTTTTTTTTGGTATCTTTTTATTTTTTGCGTTGGATGCACATTGATTTGATGAGTGTAGTAGAACTTGTTCTGTAAAGTATTTATGTTGAAGGATTAAGGGCTATCAAATATCACATATTAATAGAGTAAAGAGTACTATTTTATACAGTAAAATAATTATATAATTACTTTCCTTCTCTATTTGGGCGTGCAATTAATGTGAAGAGAACTCCACGACATCTTTCTGTAACTTTAAGAGATTGTATTTAATAAGAGCTCACTTGATGAAACGGTTGTATGCCGATGGAACTCTTTGTCTCTTCTCCGGTGCTGAACCAAAAGACAAATAATTAGAGCATTTCCTCTAGACACTGATCATGGTGGAAGGAAGATGCGAAAACTATCAATTGCTACAGCTAAGGGAGAAAGAAGATGGGGGAGAGAAAGAGAAGGCATCTTAATTTATCTCTTATATATATGCAATTCCCATGCAATTTTGCTTCATTTCTTCTACTTTCAGGAAAGAGAAATATGAGAGTAAAAGGAAAGGAATTGGAAGAAGCTGACATGTAGTGTTTACTGTTTAACTCATTTGATTGATAAATAGGGAAATAAGAATAGGGAAATGATCTCACGTCTATTGGCCATTTGAGTCTGAGGAAGCTCTTCTTCCATTACTTTTGTAGCAGGTGGAATTGAGTTGTTGCTCAGGATGGGCTGATCCAACATCAAGTTTGGTGGAGGGCAACTCAGCACTTCCTCCTTCGTTTACAATATCATTTATTTGTCACACAAAAAAGCAATAAATTTCATGAATGATTATGATATAGAGTAGAAGAAATCATGCATCTATAGGTCAGTGTTTGTTTTGAAGAAAATTTACCAAAAGATTGTGCTGGACAGGAGCCAAGAATGGATGGCCAAGATGGAGCTGATTGGCAGAAGGGAGAAGAAGCCCTCGCATATTAACAGATAGAAGATTAGTGCAGTGACCACACCTCACCGTCACTGTCTTGAACAAGCTGCTATAAGGCACGCTCACCTGTAAGAAATCAATAAAACATTTATATCAATATATATATAAATCTATATCTATATCTATATCTATCTATTATTACTGTAAGAAAAAAAAATTTAGATGAAGGGAAGGGAAGGGAAGGGAAGGGAAGGAGGAGAAGGAAATATACAGCGAGGACAGTGTCACAAAAGTTGCAATGAACATAGCAGAGCTGTTCTGATGGAGGTGGAGAGAGATGTTCCAAAGAAAACGCGGCAGCTGAAGAAGATGACATGATGCCTGTTTATCTCTGTTTCTGTGAACCTTTGAAGCTTCTTCTTCTTCTCTGACCTCTTCTTGCTCAGTTGATTTGATGGATTTGAGCTCCAAATCTCTTCTGTCAAGTCCTCTTCTTGATTTGATGATATGATTTGATGGCTTGATTTGATGCTGAGATTGACTTCTCTGAATGCTTCTTTCCTCGGATACTTTGTTTTGTAGCCTTTTTTATTTTCCCTTCTTTTTTGATCTGAACTTTTGTTGTTGGCGGAAAGAGGAGAAAAGAGATGGTGGAAGACGAGGGAGGTTGAGGAGGAGAAAGGGAGCGAGAGCTAACGGATGAATGATGAAGTTAAAAGGAGAGAGTGTTTGCAAGATATAACCATAAATATTGAATTTTTTTTCTCTCGCACTACTAAAAAATGTTTTTTTATTCAATAAATATGCTAAAAGTTAGTAAGTAAATAATAAATTAGAAAGCCTTGGAATGTAGATTGATGTGATGTCTTCAGTGGATCTATGGATGAATATATATATATATATTTTTTTTGTCGCTCTACCTATTTTAATAATAAATAAGATTTAGATTTAAGTGAGGTATTGAATGAGCCTGTTGGCTTAATATTATGTTCTTAGATTAGTAGAGAGATAAAGGAAAAAAATAGGTCATCCCATCTCTGTGTCAAGCGGTTATATCTCTAGTTTTAATTAATGAAGTCAAGTACTAGTAGCTTATATACATCTATCTTAGTTTTAAAAGTCATTAAAAGGTCTCATGTTTGAAGCTCACAAACCATTAAAAAAAACCATAAGAAGATCCTAAGATTGAATTTTGTTTTCATCAATTTAATATTTAGTGTTTAAAGTTTAAAAAAATAAATAAATAAGAAAAAAAAAACATGTAACAATATCAATATGAGTCCACCATCAGTATTGACTTAAAATATCTTAAGTTGAATATAGCTCATAAATAAATTAATTAAAAAATAAAATTTAATATCATTGTGTGAACATTTTTATATATTTACAAAATATTATTCATAGTCATCTTGATAAGTGGCTTACAGATAAATAAAATACATAAAATAAGATATTTTCATAGATAAAGTTTTTTTTGTCAAGAAGCTCTTTATAAATTTGTTTTTTTCTTTATTTTTACCAACAAGTTTGATGGAGTCAATAATAGTGTTGATGGGCTTGTTGAAGAAAAAGCTATGTCAAGAAAGTGTCTCAAAATGAAGACATTATTTTCAAACATATTAATAAGATAGGTGCATGTTTTTCCCAATCACTATGTATGATGAATCTTTATTAAATGACCTTTTTTTTCTAATTAATTATTTAAATAATGTATTGGTTTATTTGCAATAAATATGGTACATCTTGAAAAAAAAAATTAAATTTATTATTAATTATATTTTGTTAATAATTAACTTAAAAATTAAATAGATTTTTAATAAAACATAAAAATTTGATTACTATACTAATAATTTTTCATTATACATAGACTCGAATATGTGGAATTTACAAAAAAATTATATTTTTTTATTAATAAGTAATTAAAATTAGAAAAAGTTACATACATATCACATAATTCTTATGTATTGACATATCAAGTCAATAAATTTTGATATTTATGTTTAGGGCCTTCTACATAAATACCACACAATTCTTATGTATTTACATAAGCATTGAAATTTACTTACATTTCACTGAAATATTTAACGTCACATAAAAAATGTCACCATCATTATCATTTTAAAAGTGAAATACAATTTTACATGCATAAGGTGTTATAAGTTAAAATATTAAAATTTGGGTGTTGGTATATAAATACATAAGAATTGTGGGGTACGTGCGTAAATTTCCCTTATTTTTCTAATGTCATAATTACATAAAAATTTATGAATGAAAATATATACTTCACTTTAAAAATTTAATATTAATGATACTTTAAATTGGATGTCAAATACCTAGTTTTATTATATAAGTACGATATAAATATTATACAAATTTATTTATTATTTTCCTTATGTTCGAGATAGAATTGACCTTTTAAGGACTCAAATTAATCATATTTATATAATAATAATTTAAACATATATTAGTGATCATAAATATATTTATTGAATTTAATTTACATTGACATAATTGATAAGGTATTATTTTATATTGTTTGATACTCACATTTTATTTATACCTCAAAAAACCTAAATATTTTTAAAATAAATAGGATATATGAACACAAAAAAAAACATAAATATAATCAAATCATAATTATATATGTATTTTATCAAGCTTTTACTATCTATTCGTTGAATAATAATTTTCAAGTAAGTTCATTTAAATGTCAAATTTAAATTTTTATGTTAAATTTTATTCAATTACTTGAATAATTAGAAATAAAATATTTCATATATTTAATTATTCATTGAGCACTTTAAGCTCCTAAAACCCTACCAAGACTTCTCTAACTTCAAAGCTCGAGCGCTGGAGAAATATATACAACAACAACAACAACGATGCCTTAATCCCACTACGTGGGGTCGGCTACATGAATCCTTTTTCTCCATTGCGTCCTATTTAGTGTCATATTTTCATTTAGTTCTAGTAAATTAAGATCATTTTTAATAAAATAAGCCCAAGTCTTCCTAGGTCTACCTCTGCCTTTCTTAACACAAGTCGAATTTAAAACATCTACAAAATGATATTAGAAAAAAAATAATCCTTTTACAAAAATGTCAATATCAAACTTATTAACTAATTATTGTTCTAAAATGAGTTATTATTTTCACCACTATAGGAAATGCAGAAAAAAACCGATTCCAATATTCCTTAATATTTTTTATTATTTATATTTTTATTTTAACCCTTAGATTTATTTGATTATTACATAAAGTGTTTCAGAGAAATTGGAATTAATAATATGATTAGGTTTTCTATAATTTTAATGGTGTGTCTCATTGTTACATGCATACGACTCAACTCTTAGGTCTTTTCATATCGAAAACCAAAGCTTTAATTTCAAACTTGCATACTTTGCACACAATTTTTATGTATTTAATGCATATAAACTTTCATTTTTATGTACATGACACTTTGGTTCTTTAAATCCATGCTTGAAAATATGTATTTCAATTTTAAGCTTAGCACATGTAAGTCATGGATACTTGCAAATTTGATGACCATCTAATCTTTTATAGCACATTTGTTTATGGTTTATTAACAACCACCTAATCTTGAGTTTATTTTTCATGTTCTATTTTAATTATTTTATTATGATTTTTTTATCATGTTTATTTTTTTTTCATTTTGCAGAATAATTATCTTTTTCAACTTTTATCCAATAATATAAATTATTTATGTTTTTTTTCTTCAAATTGGATTAAAATATAACTAGATTTTATATTTTATGATCAACTAAGAAAAATTCCTTATATGACATGAATTTATACCATATTCATTTAATTTAAGGGGTCACTATATAATTAATAAAACTCGTCTGATCAAATATGAATCTTGAAGCAACATTTGCATTGATAATTTTAGAAATTAAAGTTAAAATCATTCAAACTCTGGTTTTAACATTCTTACAATCAAAGTAATTTTTTTTTTGATAAAATGACCCTGAATAAGACAATAAAAGTGATATAACTCTTTGGTAGTGTAGCTTAGCGTAAGTCCCTTGGGGTCACGGGTTTGATTCTGCCTGAATACATCTCCCTTGCAGTGCGAAATTGAGTGGCTAGGCTTATGGGATGGTTGGGGCTCGTATCATAGCCTTTAGACATTATTAGACAAAAGCTAAGCGGCCTAAGGAAACTTTTGACAATGTCAAAGTTAGTAACCTTAACATTCTTAGGAAACTTTAATGCCTCAGATATAATTTATATTCAACACAAATACAATAAAGTGTTTGAAAATTTTAGTTAAAATCACTAAAATGTAACTTAAAAAAAAATAAAGAAAAGGCCACATTCTTTATGTGAATGAAACTAAAAATTAATAAAGAAAATCAAAGTTCTAATGAATTCCAAAGTAATGCCTAACGTTTGAGACAGATGATTAAAAGTAAGTAGTCAATGTCACTAAACAACAGTGCTTAACGATTTTCATCTGAGCATCATTGCATCTCCTGATTACAAGAGTTCAACTCCCTTCCTCTTATTATTCTCACTTATCTAATTTTGCCCCATCGTTATTGTCTGATAACTATATCATTATTGCTACGATCCATTGATAGCATTAACATCAACCAACCGACACATATCTTTTAATTTTCATAATCACTTTTTGCTTTTTTCACTTTTTCACAATCACTTTCTACCAGGATGTGAAGTCAAACTAGCAATTCATATTTTATAATATTTTCTTCTACAATATTCTATTTTTATGATGGATTATGTTAGTTGATTCAAATACAAAAGTAATTTTTTTTAACTAATCTTATTTCTGTGTATACATACAACATTAATATAAGAAACTATTAGTATAGAAAAAATATTACATCAGGACTCCATATGCATTCGGAGTTCAATGGTGGAGCGTCATGTGTCAAACGACTCCATCATTCTTAACACTAACCAATATAAGTATATTTGCGGTGGGGCCCACTTTGCATGTGGCACCTCACCTTTAGACTCCTAACTCAAACTATGTTACGAGTCCTTATGTAATATTATCTCTTTAGTCTACTACCATTACATGATGAAAACATTATAAGTTTTGATATATAAAATTACAATAAATTATATTTATTTATATGTTAAAATTATAATCTTCATGAAATTTTGCTCCTGAGAAATTAATTTAGTAATGCCAGTGAGAGAGAAAGAGAGACAAACAGATTGAGATAGGACTTAGGAGAAGGGGGAGAGAGAGAGAAAGAGAAATAGCAGTGGGCGGCAGAGGTGGGGGAGAGGAGCTGGATAGGGACGTTTGCATGCCCTCCTTAGCTTTTCCACACCCCCATCTCTTTTTCTCCAGTAATAACACAATAATTACATATAGATCACTCCAAACTTTTTATTTACAAATTAACCATTTTCTCTCATCCATTTTTACAAATTCTCACTCAAATGTCGACATTCGAGTTTAAATGTGAAACACGTAAATATACTTATTTTATAGTTCAAAAAATCACTTGTGTTGTTAGTTTGTAAATGATAATGTTTCGGGGGGGCCGTACGTAATTATCCCAAAAATAATTATAGCAAAATTAAAAATAAAATAAAATATTTTAATAAAATTTATTTTTTTTCTTATGTGGGTTAAAAAATTTAGTAATTTTACCTCTCATTAATATATTTTCTTTGCGTGATATTAAAAAAAGAAAAATTAGCAATTGAGAATTTTGCACTCCGAC